TTTTTGAATGAATGAACCGATTTTCACGCGGTTGGCAACATTCGACGCAGTTTTTAAAGCCTTATGAAGAATCTTTGAGTATGGATTGATTGAACTAGGAATTTCGGAGTGATTCCAAAAAAACACTTTTTCAGTTTTCTTTCGACAGCGATAACTCACGAACGAATCAACCGATTTTGACGGGACTGGTGGCAATCGACGTGGTCTTTCGATATTAAGAGCTGATTAGTTTTTAGAATCGATCGATAACGCCGTTTGAAAGTAAATCGAAAAAAACCACATTTGAAAAAATTTTTTTGTAGTTTTTTTGAGATTTCTCAAAATCTACCGGCTCGAATCGGTCCAAAGTGTATTAAAAAGCTAAGTTTGGTTAAGCCCTTGGTTAATAATTAAATTCCTGTATGCTTAAATAAAGCCCGGCGAAGCGGGCTGGGTACGCTAGTAAAGTTATAAAAAAAACCTTAATAATTCTAATCTTCTGTTTCAGAGGATAGTTAGAATACAAAACTATTTTCTTGGACATGATCAGACCTGATCATATCCAATTATGCCCGGTCGTTTGTCATGCCTGATCATGATTGATTATTTTTTCACGGTAACTTATCGATTTTTTAATTGAAATAAGCACTCTCTGATGCTTCGCATCATGAATCGTGCAGTAACTGATAAATACTGTCAAACTCTATTTTCAAACTTCAAGCCATTAATTATCCGCAAATGTTAATGTTTGCAAGGCATTTCATCTTGAAAATAGCAGATTAATCTGGAAATCACCTACTAGGTGAATTATCAAATTTTTCGTTTTATAATAATCATCCATTTACTTACCTTTCCAAGGTACATAAAATGATTGACGAGATTGATTACATTAAACGTTTTGCCAGAATAGCTCTCTCCAGCGATAATAATATGCTGTGGTTCTTCATTATGGAGTACATCTTGATACGCTTTGTCTGCTACAGAAAATATATGTGGCTCGTTATCTGATCTTGATTTGAAATTGTATTTTTCGTGAAACTGTAAGAACGATTCATAGGTAATTTTTTGCAAGACAGGTCTTAAAAAAAAAAAAAAATCAGGTATTTTGAAAATCAGACTATATTATTTTTAAAAATTTTCTGCTACTGATGATTGATAATGAAATTGATGAACAATAAATATGAAATATAGAGCATTTGTTTTTTTAAGTAAGTATTAGAAACGGATTGTAAAAAGTAAAAAGTTATATCAGTTTCCCACATTATAAATAAAATTTTCTGAAAACAAGCAATACTGACATCTAAAAAGCTGTGAACAAAAAGTTAAGAAAGAAAGATGACGTGGAAATTACAACGAGTTTCTTTTTTTTGTATTTTCCATCCATAAACTATTAGGTACAAACATGAAGTTGAAAATAATACAGCGTGAAGCATTCGTTATTATTGTTATTCGTCTCTAAGAAGTACTGCCAATTTAAATTGTATGGGCAACTAGTTTCAAAGTCTTTAAAAAATTAAAATCTGAATTTTTGTTTGATGCTGATTTGTAACATACATAAAAACAGTTAAATCCAAATTTCTTATTTAATATATTGAGCTAAACCTATTGATAACCTTAAAATTACTGTATAAATTATTAATACTGTGAGATTGTAGTACCATACAAATTTTTTAAAAGTTACTTATGGGTCGTTCCATGTCAAATCGACCAATAGTTGGAATCGACCCCTTTCGATGTGGATGAATTTTGGCCAGAAGTTTTCTTTTATCATAGAACGAAGTTCTGCCAAAGAAAAAAAAAATAGAAAAATTTTTTTCAAAAGATATGCAAATTCAAAATTTTGCGATTTTTCCAGTTTTTCAATTTTGTTTTTGCAATATCTCGAATGCTATTATAGATTCAGAAATGGTCTTTCGTGTGTTTGAAAGGGGATACTTAGGGCTATTGAAAAAAAAAAAATATTTTGGAAAAAAATTCTGAAAAATGCCAAATTTGACAAATTATGAATTTTTGAAAATCGTCAAAAATGAAGAGTGCCATTAAAATTGTGGCTCAATTTTTAACTTCCCGCTGAGAAAATCGAAGATTTTCAAAATTCATGATGTTATTGGTTTTATGCTTATTTTGCAAAAATCGAGTTTTCATCAGATCTCGACGTTTGGAGGTTACAGGAAGCTTCCCTGACTTCTCCCGCGAGGTTGTCACTATGTCTGAATGTATGTGTGTATGTGTGTGTGTTTTTTTTTTTTTTTTTTTCATAGAGGAGGTAAAATACATTTACGTATGCCAGGACTTGGTGTTGGTGCCTGGGTATGTCGGACTCAGAAGTCGATATTATTTTGCAACAATACCAACTAAACATCCTCCTCTCTCCTTTCCCCAAAAATTTTACAGGGAAGTCTGGATTGGGAACGCGTTAGCTTTACTTCGATCCAGTCCATGTTGTGTCTCACGACACCTACTTCTTGTTACTACTGGTTTCTAATCCCTTTCTGCGATTTTTTCTTTTAAAAGGCGCTGCGTGTAGGCTGCGACAGCTGACCAGTTTTCTTCTATTCTAATCATGTAGGTTACCAAGCTCTCAGGGGAGAGCGTTGTGCCTATTGTTTCTTCGGTGCTGATTTTGTCGTCCTTCCACCGATCACACTCGAAAAACGTGTGCTCGACGTTGCCAATTTTGTCTGGACAGTATTTGCACGTTGGTGTGCTGTGCAAATCTATCTTGAAAAGATAGGCATTGAACTGCCCATGTCCCGTCAATAGCTGGGTCAGGAAGAAGTCCGTATCCCCGTGCTTTCGAGCAAGCCAGACGTTGATGTTTGGGATCAGACGCGCTGTCCATCTGCCCGTCTCTCCCGAAGTCCATCGGTCCTGCCACTCTTGCTGCGTTTCCGTTTTTATCCTCGTTCTTGCCTCCTCCATGTTTTCGCCACTGATTTTAGCGTCGTAGAGTCTTGCTCTCTCGAACGCTAGTAGGTTAATGGGCGCAGCTTCCACAATGACCAGTACAGCCGCTTCGAAAACCGTGCGGTAGGCGCAGGCAACTCTGAGAGCGCCTCGCCGCTACACTGCTGCCATTGTCCGCCGGTAGGTCTTATGAAGCTAAAGCTAGCGGCCAAAACAAAAACCAGGGCCGAAACATGCGAAGAGCGCCCTGTTCCTAAATAAAATAATAAAAATGAATAATTCCAATTTTTTTGCATTTAAAGTTGACTGGTAAGCAAATAAAAGATAGGACTGTTTATATGCGAGGGTCAGCTGAATAATGTGAGCCAGTACTCTAGGCTCTCTAGAAGACTGGCTCTCTAGAAAATTTATCTCTCCGGAAAGTTGTCAGTTCCGTTTTTTGAGCTGTCAGGGTCTAACATTATTAGGTGGACCCGCAAGATGGAATAAAAAATTTTTTTACAAGGGTTAAAATATTAAAGTGGGCCCAGTACGGTAAACTGGCTCTTTAACACAATTATCGCTCCGGAAAGGCTTGAGATCCATTTTTTGGGCCATGTCAGGGTCTGAAATTATTAAGAAGACTCTCAAAAAGATATTTAAAATTTCTTTGCAAGGGTAAGAATATTACAGTGGACCCAATACGATAGACTGGCTCTCTGAAACAATTATCACTCCGAATAGTATTCAGACCTATTTTTTGAGCCATGTCAGGGTCTGACATTATTAGGTGGACTCTCGAGAAGATACTGAAAATTTTTTTGTAAGGATTAGGATATTACGGTGGGTCTAATACGATAGACTGGCTCTTTAGAATAATTATCACTCCAAAAAGTTTTCAGACCCATTTTTTGGGCCATGTCAGGGTCTGACATTATTAGGTAGACTCTCAAGAAGATATTAAATATTTTTTTGCAAGGGTTAGGATATTACAGTAGGCCCAGTATGATAGACTGGCTTTTCCGAACGATTATCGCTTCAAAAGAATTTAGATCCATTTTTTGGGCCGTGTCAGGGTCTGGGATAACTAAGAAGATTCTCAAGGAGACAGTAACAATTTTTTTGCAAGGGTTAGGATATTACAGTGGGCCCAGCGTGATAAAGGGGCTCTTTAGAATAATTATCACTCCAGAAAGTTTATAGATCCATTTTTTTGGCCATGTCAGGATCTGACATTATTAGGTAGACTCTCGAGAAGATTTTAAATATTTTTTTCCAAGGGTTAGGATATTACAGCCTCATCGTACTGGGCCCAGTACAATAATGTAGTTATTTAGAACAATTATCGCTCTAAATAGTATTCAGATCCATTTTTGGGCCTTGTCAGGGCCTGACATTATTAGGAAGACTCTCAAGAAGATATTGAAAGTTTTTTTGCAAGGGTTTGGATATTATGGTGTGCCCAATACGATAGACTGGCTCTTTAGAATAATTATCACTCCAAAAAGTTTTCAGACCTATTTTTTGGGCCATGTCAGGGTCTGGCATTATTAGGTAGACTATCGAGAAGATTTTAAATATTTTTTTGCAAGGGTGAGGATATTGTAGTGGGTCTAATGCAATAGATTGACCCTCTAGAATAATTATGACTCTAAAAAATTTTCAGACCCATTTTTTTAGCCTTGTAAAGGTCTGACGTTATTAGGTGGACTCTCGAGAAGATACTGAAAATTTTTTTGTAAGGATTAGGATATTACGGTGCGTCCAATACAATAGACTGGTTTTTTCGAATAATTATCGCTCCGGAAAGTATTTAGATCCATTTTTTGGGCCATGTCAGGATCTGGATAATTAAGAAAACTCGCGAAAAGATGTTAAAAATTTCTTTGTAAGGGTTAGGATATTACAGTGGGCCCAATACAATAGACTGGCTTTCTGGATCAATTATCGCTCCGAATAGTATTTAGGATCTCACATTATTAGGTGGACTCGCAAGATGAAATGAAAAATTTTTTTGCAAGGGTTAAAATATTACAGTGGGCCCAGTACGATAGACTGGCTTTTTCGAACAATTATCACTCCAAAAAGTTTTCAGACCCATTTTTTGGGCCATGTCAGCGTCTGACATTATTAGGTGGACTCTCGAGAAAATACTGAAAATTTTTTTGCAAGGGTTATGATATCACGGTGCGTCCAATACGATAGACTGGATTTTTAGAATAATTCTCACTTCAAAAAATTTTTAGACCCATTATTGGGGTCATGTCAAGGTCTTACATTATTAGGTAGACTTTCGGGGAGATATTAAATATTTTTTTGCAAAGGTTAGGATATTAAAGTGGGTCCAGTACGATCGACTTGTTCTTCAAAAAAATGATCGCTCCAGAAAGTTTTGAGTTCTATATTCTGGGTCATGTCAAGGTCTGACATTATTAGGTGGACTGTCGAGAAGATGTTATAAAAATTTTCTGCAAGGGTTAGTATATTACAGTGGGCCCAATATGATAGACTGGCTTTCTGGAAAAATTATCGCTCTCAATAGTATTCAGACCTATTTTTTGGGCCATGTCAGGGTCTGACATTATTAGGTGGACTTTCGAGAAGATATTGAAAATTTTTTTTGTAAGGGTTAGGATATTACAGTGGGCTCAATACGATAAACTTGCTGTTTAGAACAATTATCTCTCCTGAAAGTCTCCAGATTTGTTCCTTTGGCCATGTCAGGGTCTGAGATTATTAGTGAGACTCTTGAAAAGATATTAAAAATATTTTTCGACGGTTAGGTTATTATAACGGGCTCAGTACAACAAACTGGCTCTCTAGAATTATTGCTCCAAAAAGGCTTCAAATCCTTTTTTTGGGCAATTTTAGGGTCTTGGATTATTAAGTGGACTTTTGAAGAGATATTAAGGAGGATCGAGTGAATCTAATGTAAAAAATAATTTCCAACTTTGAGCTTTGAAATTAAGTATACATATAAATAAATACGTCATTTATCAAATCCTCAAATTTTTAAAAGATTTACCGTTTAGTTACTTAGGTATGAAATTTAAAAAGTCACATATTATATCTCCTTATACACGGGCTTTTATGGCAGACAAACTTTTGTCCAGACTTTAATTATTTTTCTTCAATATTAACCTTCCAACTTTAACGGATAAAAAACTATACACAAGAAACTAAGATTGTTGTAAAATTTACAAACAATTTAATCATTATACATTGCCGATATAATTTTTGAAATATTTAACGTCAAATTTTATGTTTGTAACTCGTTTATCGTCAGCCATTTATTCGAATAAAGATTTGACAACATCTCGTCAACAACTGAGAAAAAAGAAAAGAATAGAAGTATAGTTACAGAGAGAGAAATGTTTAACTCACACACTTATCCACGTCTCTGTTATATGTATAATCAAGCCCGCTATTGGTAAATCTGTTTATTTATTCCGGTAAGTAATTAACATGAAAGTCATTCTATTACTGTACTTTATTAACCCGTTCGGTATAAAAGTCAG